TAAACATAATGATAAGTATAAATACAAATATGAATATAAGTATAAATATAAGTATAAATATAAAGTATAAATATAAAGTATAAATATAAAGTATAAATATAAACATAATGATAAGTATAAATACAAATATGAATATAAGTATAAGTATAAATATAAGTATAAATATAAACATAATGATAAGTATAAATATAAGTATAAATATAAGTATAAATATAAGTATAAATATAAGTATAAATATAAGTATAAATATAGGAATATAAGTATAAGTATAAATATAAGTATAAATATAAGTATAAATATAGGAATATAAGTATAAGTATAAATATAAAGTATAGGTATAAATATAAAGTATAAATATAAACATAATGATAAGTATAAATACAAATATGAATATAAGTATAAGTATAAATATAAACATAATGATAAGTATAAATATAAAGTATAAATATAAAGTATAAATATAAACATAATGATAAGTATAAATATAAGTATAAATATAAGTATACGTGTGGATATACGTATACACATGAATATAAGTATAAGTATAAGTAAAAAGAACGGAGGGACTGGGAACGTAGGCATAATAAAAATATATAATAGATATACCGATATATCTAGTGTGAAAGATGATATAAATTATATAAAATATATACAAATGAAGGCCAAAAAAAGAAAAAAATCCATATAAGCTCCCTTTCACAATCACACATAAGGAAATATTTAATATAAAATTTTCAAGACAGAGGTATTTTGAAGTTATTATTCATAAGGACGTGAAGTACATACATGTTGCTTCATTGTTATTATTAATACTAGTGTTGCTATGATTATGACCAGTGTTGACATTATTATTTCATTATTATCAATATTGTTATCATTATTATGTCTATAGTATTCTCTGTTATTACTATCATCATTATAATCATTATCATTATAGTTATTATTATCACTATTATTATTATTATCAACACTGTTATTGTTATTATTAAATTTATTGTCATTATTATCATTATTATTATTGTTATTATTATTACTATTATTATTATCATTATTGTTATTATTATTATTATTATTATCATTATTATCACTATTATCATTATCATCATTATCATAATCATCATCATTAATATCACTGACACGATTGTCCTTGCCATCACTCTCCTCACTGACGCCGCGCCGCCGTCCCCAGCTGAGGCAGTTCGCCCACGCCCACCACTACCGGCCCGTGGTCCTTCTGGCGGCCGTGTTCACCCTGCGGGAGCTCGGCGGCCAGTACGTGTTGTTCGCGTATACGGTGTACTTGTTCCGTCAGGCGGGCGTGCACCTCGACGCCTTCCTCTGCACGATCCTGGTGGGCGTGATGCGCGTGGTCTTCACCTCCCTCGGCTGCGGCGTCGTGGATCGCGTGGGGCGGCGGCCGCTCATCGTCACGACGTCCCTGGTGTGTGGCATCGCTGAGGCCGTCGGGGCTCTATTCCTGCTGGTGGACGTCCCCGGGGCCTCGTGGGTGCCCCTGGCCGCCGTCCTGCTCTTCGTCGCGTCCTACGGCTTCGGCCTCGGACCCATCCCGTGGGCGCTGCTCGGGGAGCTCCTGCCCACGCCCATCCGCTTCATCGGCAGCTCCATCTGCATCTTCAGCTTCAGCCTGACGCAGTTCGTGGTCAGCTACCTGTTCCCGCTGCTGATGGACCGCGCGGGCGTCGGGGTGGCCCTCCTGGTCTTCGCTGTGGCCCACGGCGTCCTCGGCCTCGTCCTCTGGGCCTTCCTCCCGGAGACGCGAGGCCGGACCCTCAGCGACCTCCAGGACTGCTTCTCCCCCGTCAGGAGGGCGACGGAGCCGGTGCAGTTGCAGAACTATAAAAAGGCCATCAACAGTTGATGGATTCTACTAATAATTTCCATACATGTGTTCGTGAAAAAAAATGTTGTAAGATGTAGTTTATTTAACAAAGATTAGCTTTTTTTTTTTTTTTTTTTTTTTAAACACAAGCGTTTGAGTCAGATGCAATTATGACATTTTCCCCTGAAAACTTATTTTGCTCATCAGCCATGTCAGTGTCAACAGCTGAAGCGATTTCTCACGGTAGCAATGAATATAGGTTCAACGATGAATTCATCTCAAGAGAAATCAGGCTGTAACCAACGAGAAATGAAAACAAACATGAAAATATTCGATAGTTTTCCTTTTTCCCTTTTCTTAAGTATTCGGAAAACTCTTATCGATGTTCGACAATTTTTTTTTAAATAAAAGTCCCAGTAGAAAATCCTGTATCTTGGATTAAGACGCTGTGTCATCTGTGGGACTGTCTGGTAATATGATAACGTGTGCCTGATACACACACATATAAATCTTTCTCTTTATCTCTCTCTCTCTTTTTATCTCTCTCTTTCTCATACTCTCTCTCTATGTTTATCTATCTATCTCTTCTTATCTCTCTCTCTCTCTCTATCTCTCCCTCTCTCTCTCTATATATATATATGTATGTTTATGTATACGTTTAAACCCTAATAAAATATTTGTTTTTAATTATCATTCACACACAAACAAACACATACATATACATATATATAGGGTATATATGCTTATGTATACACATACACACAAACACACACAATATATATATATATATATATTGGAAAACCAACGTGGCTGAGACGAACTTCATTTTGCAATTGCAAACGTTTCGGAGAATGCAAACTCCATCATCAGTGCTATAACATAAACAATAACAGGAAAAATTAATATCCAGTATATTAAAAAAAAAATTAAAATAATTCAAAATAAAAGACACGAACAATCATCAATTAACCACAGACAAAAAGAGGCAGTGAAGCAAGAAACAGGCATTAACCAAGTAATGGGTGGTTGGCAGGTTACACGGTAAACAGGGTGGTTGCAGTGGAAGTGTTGTTTAACTGTGGTTTCATAGTTAGGATGATCAAGTCAAATCTGTTAAGGTGAGAGGGCAAGATTGTGAAATCAGTATTGGTAAAAGGGTGATTGTGGAGATGAAAGTGCGCTGTGAAATTGCTGAGAAGGATGGTTTGCTCAGCTGTAGGCCTGTCCTGATTGACTCGCCTTTGTGTTGGAGATTGCGGCGACGAAGCCGTCGTGAGGTTGATTCCACGTACCTAGTCTGACAGCGAGGACAAGCAAATAGGTAAACCGCATTCGAACTTAGTTCAGAGTCACACTTTTCTTTTTTCTTTAAAAGATTTCCAATAGTGTTTGACCTGTAAAAAAAGAAACCGAAAACAGATCTGAGGATAGCATTGTCTGAGAATTTTATTTAATGATTTTCTGAGATCGAAAGTAAGACCGCCCATATATGGAAGTTTTATAAATTTAATGTCTTTGTTGACTGTGGTCAATGCAGGTTTTGGGTAGAATTTCTGACACAAGAAATTGCGTAGTACTTTGTAAAATAGGTAAGATGAATACCCATATATTTGTAGCGAAATATTCCTTTAAGAATGAAGTTTCTTCATGAAAACTAGTCCAAGTTGGACAAATGTTGTAAGCCCGGTTGATAAGTGTTGCAAGGCTGTTTAGCATGTAAATATGAGGAATATAGCCGAGATAATGAAGACCAAGGCCTGTGAATGTGGGTTTCCTGTAGGCACTGGTGAAGAAGCAATTAATACGAAAATTTAGTCAAGTATCAAGAAATGATAGTTTATTTTGTTCAATTTCACAAGTGAACCTAATATTGGGGTGTGAATTTAACCCATTGCCGCCGGGGAAAATGAACAAAAAATGGGGGAAACGCAGTACTCATTTTTTATATTTTTGTGAAATATCCATAGATGGCTCTGCTAGTCCTGATTTCACCTTTCCTTGAATTGGCGGAAAAAAACATATTTTTACTAGTGCTATAAATATAGATGGTGTTATTTTTAACAGCAAATTAGGATAACGTTAAATACTTTCGTAAATCGATGAAAAGGGTGAACGGGCGACACAGGCAGTACTGTAATTGGCTCATTGGATACTTAGTACAAGTGTAGCCATCTATGTGTAAAAACAATCGAACAAGTCGACTCACAGTGGGCATGGCATGTACATACATGCCATCCCCGGCGGCAATGGGTTAAGTATGAGAGGAAAGGGTTAATGTGAGAGGGGTGTTAAAAGAAAGTAAGGAAGTATCACCCACGTAACGACGATATAATATAGGTTTGAAACTGGCAGGACAGTTCTTCAACCAGCCTTGTTCATGATGAAAAAAGAAGGTATTGACGTAACAAGGGCCATTGCTACACCGTCTATCTGCGTGTGAATAGAGTCATTAAAGGCAAACACTGAATTATGAACAGCTATATCCAATAGTTTCTTATAAGTAGTTATGTTCAGAACACACGAGATTAAGAGTGATGAGGCAGTTTTGTTTATAATTATATTAGTGGTTTCACTAGTTAACACTAGCCATTGTGACAGGCCATAGTGATTTAAGGGTAGTAATTTCTTTGATAAATGAGAAAGAGTTTTCTATGGTATATTCATTATTAGTTAGTGGGGTGATGATATTAACTAAGAATTTAGCAACATTATAACTGAAGGTTCCAACAGCAGAAATGATAGGGCGTAGTGCTTGACCAATTTTATGAATTTTAGGAAGACCATATTAGAAATCGGGTTTGGAGCCGGATGTAGTTAGAAAGTCGTAAGTGATATCACCGATAGATGTTCTAATCGAGCGTAAAAGCCTGTTTAATTTGTCTTCCAATTTTAGTAGATGTCATACATATTCATACACACATATGGATGTGTATATATATATATGTGTATATATATATATGTATATATGTGTGTATGTGTGTGTGTGTATGTGTGTGTGTGTGTGTATGTGTGTGTGTGTATAAATAATGTGTGTGTGTGTGAATGACAATTAAAAACAAATATTTTCTAAGGGTTTAAATCCGGGTTTTGAATTAAAGAACAAATATGCATATGGGACTTTGGCAGAACGGAAACACGTTACCAAATTTCCTTATTGTCACAAAAATATGTATGAATATATAGCCACTGATTGATGTAATTTAGTGATAATGTTGACAAAGCTTTTTGGCTGTTGATAAATAGCCGATATGATTCATTAATTAATCTTTTGGAGTGTTTATAATTAGCTTGTCATCACTTATTAGATAATATGCACTTGTAATGCTTCAACAAATCCTATGACTTTTTACTCATATCTGAATTACTTCTACCATTTTTATCGTGGGTACTGTAATATGTAAATTAATTATCTATGTATTTTCTCTGTCATTGTGTCAAAATGGAAAACATGCCAATATATATTAAATAATCTATAATTATTATTTTTAAATTCAATATCATTAACAATAGCATCGTGCACAATTCTTTTTCATAGTTTTTATTTTTGCATATATTCAATATAATGCAATGGCTTCAGCATATTTTATCTTGTATTCATTAGTACTAAATCCTTTCAGAATTACAGTGTCATGGATTAAACACGCTAACAATGTTAATACAGAGATTTATCTTTAATGCACGGTATGGAAAATATCGTAAACTATAACATACATTGATTCCTTCTTGAAAAAAAAAACTAAATAAAAAAGACAGTATTTCGTAATTTTATCCCGGCTGTCAGAGGAATGCAGATGCGTTAGATAATCATTCATATTCATATTGATTTCAAAAGAAAACTGATGAAACGAAATTAATTAGTATTCTGACAAATGTCTACGGCATAGAAAACTTCGCTATCGTGGATTTTTTTGTTTTACTTCTGGAAATCATGTCAACGTAGAGTAAAATATATAAATTATTGTGTATCTAGCTGTATTTGGTGGACTATGATTGGCTGAATGTGATGACGTCACTTGGCTCCGCCCCCTTTTCATTCCTGTCAATCTGAGAGCTATATAATAATAGGAAATATTTTATTTTCTTTAAAATCGGGTAAATGATGACGACGGGAATAAATATAAACAAAGTATATAAACAGAGTATAAATAAAAACAAAGAAATCCTTTTTTTTTCAATATATGATGGCAAAGGGGCGGGGCTTAGCTCAACAGTTGCCAACTTGGATTTTCATCACGACAGTATAGTGCAACTTGTCTTAGAAGGACGAATACCGCCGTCAGGAACACGACGGGGCAAAGGTGCTCCGGCGCGGCCTGCAGCTTGATCTGAAGGGGGTGGGGGAGGAGGGGGGGGTTAAAGTAAACGTATATATAATCCAAGTTTTCTTCCTTCTGTGCCTGAACTTAAGGGAACTTCAAAACAACTAACTATTACCAATTAATCTCAACCGTCCTGCTCCTCCTCCCTCACTTAACCAAACTCAACTCAACTCAACCACACAAATTATAAGCCAAAAACTTCTCCTTAACATCAACCCGACAAGCCAAAAATATCCCATGTATTAATTTTTTCCTTAACATCAATACATCTTTCTTTTCTTTTCTTCATATAGTTCTTCTTCTTCCTCCTCCTCCTCTTCTTCTTTTCCTTTTCCTTCTTCTTTGTCTTCATTTTTTTTTCATCAAAAGCAAAAAACACATCTTTCTTTTCTTCATACAGTTCTTCTTCTTCTTCTTCATCCTCTTCTTCTTTTCCTTTCCCTTTTCCTTATTCGTCGTCTTCATATTTTTTTTATCCTCAAAAGCAAAAAACACATCTTCCTCTTCTTATTTTCCTTTTCCTTCTTCGTTGTCTTCATTTTTTTAATCATCAAAAGCAAAAAAAAAAAAAAAAAAAAAAAAAAAAAGACGTCACTTGGCTCCGCCCCCTTTTCATTCCTGTCAATCTGAGAGATATATAATAATAGGAAATATTTTATTTTCTTTAAAATCGGGTAAATGATGACGATGGGAAAATAATTAAATAAAAACAAAGAAATCCTTTTTTTTTTTCAATAAATGATGGCAAAGGGGCGGGGCTTAGCTCAACAGTTGCCAACTTGGATTTTCATCACGACAGTATAGTGCAAC